TATATCTATTTTGAATTTCTAAACTTTTAAGGTATATTTATGAATTTCTAACTGTAGTTATTTGTCTTTGGCAGGTTTTTGGATCAAGGTGTGGAAGTTGAATGTGCCACTAAAAAACGAAATTCCTACCAAGGCTAATGGTGCAAAATAGGGTGCACTACAAGCAAGATGCCTTTACCAACAGCAGTCTATACAAATGGATTTCAATTCGTCTATATAAATTATACATACCAACAGAAAATATAAGCAATTAATATATATTAGTCTATACCAATGGAAAAATATATCTGTTAGTATAGATTGGGCTTATATAAATGGTACTAATTATTCATTTATATGGAGTATATCTATTCTAATGATAATCATTATCCGTTTGTATAAGTCTATGAATCTTTTTAATTTCTATAGTCGATATACATTTTCCACTTCCCTCCATGTATTCCCAATTTTTCCTCCCTAAATTCTGAGTTTCCCTCCCCAACTAGACCTAAATATTTCCCTTTTTCAAATCTAATTTGACTCCAACCCTCACCAAAATTCATTTCCCTTTTCTCTTTTCTCTCTCCTATCCTTTCCTTTTCTCCCTCTTGCTGTTGATGCCATCACCGTCTAATCAAAGGGGCCAGTTGCCATTCTCTTTGTGGGACAGTTCTCCAAAAGTGCAAATCTGACGTTCGAGGCAAAAAATTTGGATAACCTTGACAACTTTTCTATCTAATCCAGTGTTGGGGACCTTGGATCGATGTTGGGGACCTTGGATCCATGTTTCAGGCTCGAATTGGCCCTCTGGTGGAGTCGACTAGTGTGTGCCTAGAGGATAGATCCGATGTTGGATCGAGTTCCAATGACATCAAAATAGTGTTCTATTTTCTACCAATTCATAATGTCAACTGCAATGCACTGCTATGATCGGTGTTCTTAGGTTCCATTGCACGCAGTGGCCTATAGTGCCGATCGAACACCTATAAATCCATCTTCTGTCAAACCCTAGCTTGCTTGAGGTGTTTTTGCAGTGTTAGACACCAACATAGAGGGTAACTCATTGATCCTTATATTTTCATTTGTACTTTCAAGATTCTATTTATCCCTTCTCTCTATCATGGGAAAAATCTTTAGAAACTACAATTATTAAAGCATATATCCTACACCATTTGTATAAGAAAAAATTGATTCTAAATAGGAAGATATCCTAGGTCTACATTTGATGTACTATATGAAAATTTTTTATCATTTGATATTGTGAAATCTATATTGATTATTTTTTCCTCTTCCATATGAAAATTCTAGTTAATTTATTGCAAGAACTAATCTAATTCAATTCGTTTATTATTATTATTATTTCTTTTGAAATATAATTGTCTTTGACAATGTCTTTAAAAATAAGAGATTTTCTTTGCTTATATGTGTTCATAAAGATTGTTACAGAGCAGTTCTTCCTTTTTAGATGTTTCTGCCTTGGTTTAATTCAATCTATGAAGGTGAGGCTTGGATAGTATTGCTAAGGTATTATCATTTTTTCTATCTATTTTTAGGTAAATGAATTCTTTTAATTGATTTATGTGCGAGTGAACTCTTTTTTTTTCTTTTTCTTTTTTTTATAAATTATGATCATTGTGTAGATTTATTTCTACTTCTCTATAAAATTATGGCCACAAATTCCACAAATTGAAGTATTTATGTCTAGAATATCAGTCATTCCCTTAAAAAATAGAATATCATTCGTTAATAGATGTCTTTTGTAAAATTTCCACAACATTTACACGAAGATTTTTAAATGATTTGTCAATGAGAAGGTGATTGATTTTTTTTACTCAAGCTACTTTATTAAAAAAAGCAGTGTGCGTGCTAACAAATACATTAAGGATCTCTCCTGGACTAACACAAGATGATAGTTGCTCAAGATGCAAGGAAGGTCCCGAAGACATTCTACACTTGTTTCGCGACTACCCAGCCTCGTGATGCATCTAGAAGTGATGGATCCAGGATAACTTATGGAACAAGTGGAAGAGTATGACATGTGATGAATGGATCAAGCACAACTTGTCAAGAGTAGTTGACAAAATAGAATATAAGTTGAATTGGGACACAGCTTTCCCAATCATATGCTGGTATTTATGGCTTGGAAAAAACAAAGCATCTTTTGATGAAGACCTCGCTTGAATAGCCTCTAATGAAACCAGGCTGAGGCACCATCTCTTAGAAGCTGCAATTTATTCGAAGCAACAGCATGCACAATCCAAAAGAATTCATTTAGTGGGATGCGATCCTCCACCATAAGAGTTTGTTAAAGTTAGTGTTGATGGATCTGCTTGTGGTTCGCCAAGAATCTCAGTTGCAGGTGGATGCTGTCGGGACTCTTCAGGTCAGTAGGTGTTTGGATTTACGCAGCAATTGGGGGTAGGACATGTCACTAGAGCTGAATTATTTGCCATATGGAAAGGTATGGAAATTGCATGGCAAAAAGGATTTAGGCGAATTATCATAGAAACAGATTCATTATTAGCTGTTCAGAAGTTGCAAAGCAGGACATCGGAGATTAATGCATTGACGATGCTAGTTCAAAGGTGTAGAGCATTTATGCAAAGAGATGGATATGTAAAGTAAGACATGTGCTCAGGAAAAGCAACTATTTTGCTGATGCTTTGGCCTCACAATTCTATTACTTGGAGACTAGGTTACACATTTTTGAGGAGCTGCCATGTTTGGTCCGAGAAAGGTTACGAGAAGATCTGGTTGGAGATTGTCAGCCTCCTGCCATTAAATAGTTTTCAGTGATTTATCGCTGCCCTTTGTACCAAATATATAAATATATATATATACATTTTTAGTCTCTAAATTAGTAAGTTTTTATATTAAAAATGTGTATATATTGACAAATTTAATAAATTGATTGATAGATGGACAAAAAAGTATATTTTTAAAACTTGAGGAACCAAGGAAATTTAAAAGTTGACAACCATATAAAATTCTAAAATTGAGGGAATAAAATTAAACATTTAACCCAAAAAATGTTATATTGGGATAATTGTTTATTTTTAGGATAGGATTGTCTATTAATCTATTTTACTTCTCACAACTTTTTTAAAGGAAATAGTTTAATTTATTTGTCAATTTTAATTTTTTATATAAATTTATTTAATTTATGTTTTCAAGGAACATATTAAAATATAATAAATATATATTTTTAAGCAAAAAATTTTTTATACCTTATACTATATTTTTTTAGGTCAACACCTAAATAAAATTTTATTTATAACCAACATGTTCTACTTTTAAAATCCTGTGATAAACACCAAATTGGATGTGCCACTCGTTCTCATCGTTAATTGAATACTACGTGGCACATTTCGAATGAAGTGGACAAACTTTTCTTACATGCCAAAGTCTTAAATCTTAATGGCATAGTGTCGACACTGTATTGGTAGATGTCAATACTATGCATTAAGATTTTGCCATGTAAAGAAAAGTTTGTCCACATTGTTGTCGTACAGAGAGTAACGCTGGTCTATGAAGGTCTGTGAAATTTGGAGGTTATCATTAGAATTTAAAAGTAAAGTTTTGTAAAAATTTATTAGGATATTGATTGTAGATAAAAATATTGTATAGGATGTAAAGTGGAGTTCTTGCTTATACTCTATATATTAATTTATATAAAAAATAAAATAGATATTAATTTCAATACCCATAACATGTGCTTTGTTTTTATTTTTTTATATGTATTAATGATAAAAAGTATAATAAACACATTTTTCCCCTTTTTTTTTTTCAATTTTACCTTTATTAATAATTATTCATTTTAAAAAAGAACATACCTCAACATCTCAATTAGTCTCATTAATTAAGTTAAATATGAAATTTTATTAGTAATAAGTGTGTTTTTATAAATTTCTGTAACTTTTTTCTGCAATTGTACCGAGAAAAAAATACAAGAAGTAAAATAGATCCTATTTTAGTATAGAATTAAGAGTTAATATTTTAATAAAAATGAAAAAAAATAGTTAAAGAACAAAAAAATGTACAAACTAACAAAGTTTAAGGACTAAAATTAATATTTAATAAAAAAACTAACACACTTAGAAGTAAAACATGTTTGGATAGGCTAACACACTTAAAAGTAAATATTTTTTTGGATAGAGGAAAATAAATTATTGAAAAGGGAGAAAAATTGAAAGATATTGTAGCTCTACATTTGTCAATATTGAAATTAAAATGTCATAAATAAAATAAGAGTTTTATGTATTATAATTTAGATGGTATATTAAAAATATAGTTTTATATAAATATTATTAAATTATTATTAATAAATAAATATAAAGAAAAATTTTATTAAAAATATTTTGATAATTTTATTGTTAAAATTTCAATTTTCATGTACGATCTAACTTAAAAATTATTTTTTTAATAAAATAAAATAAAATAAAATTTTTTATTAAAAAGCGTTTTAATAAATTTCATATATAAAAAATGTTGTGTGATTTGAAAAATAACTTTTTAATGTATAAAAAATAGAAATTAAACCTTAAAAGTATGTACAGTGAGTGTGAAGGAAATCAATTTCCTTGAGTATCACATGTTAAATAAGAATTATCTCTTTAAAATCACTTAAAAAAATTTGTCTTAAAATGTGAAAAATGAATTTGGTTATTGTCACCATAAGAAGTGCTAAAGTTACCAATTTTAAATTTTTTTCTTAAATAGTTTCTTAAATTGTATTCGAAAATCTCAATTTATTGATTACTTTTAATTTATTAATTAATAAATATTATTTTATTATTTATTAATTTATAAGTATAATTATTAATTATTTTTATAAATCAAATTAAATAGAATTAATATTTTTAAAAATAATATTTTTAAAAATAATATTTTATATTTGTTATCAACTTTAATATTTTACTTCATAATTATAACACTGTTGGCCGGATAAGCTTACTTAGTACACCCTAACAAAAAAACGAAAAAAAAGAAATCGTTTTATCCACGCGAGGTTGCCTGCGATTGTGTTTCATCTTGATTTCTTTATCAGATTTCAAGATCTGCTTTTTCATTGTCTAATTGCAGACACCAGGACAAACGATGGTACTAAAAATCTATCCAATACCCAAATTTTTCCTTAAAAGAAATACAAAATTCCGAACGAAAGGGAAAGGGAAGAGAAGAAGAACAGCGAAGGGAGATAAGAGTCAAGCTATTTCAATGGTAAAAAACATGGAACAAGAACAACAATCAGCACCCAGTTCACCAAAGTCAGCCCCTCCACCGAAATCATACGTCTTGTTTATGAAAATCATGAGCAAAAGGAGAACATGGGTATGTCTCTTTGTGCTAGTATACGCCATAATTCTATCTTGTTCATGGAATTGCCTCAAATCCATACTGTCTTGGTACAAAATCCAAGCCCAGCGCTCGTCTGCTGCTCCTGGGTGGCCGGCTTTGTATGCGTCGGTCCTACTTGGTGTGGTTTTCGGGTTGCTGTCGATGGTGGCAGCTCTGGGTGTGGCTGTGCCAGCCACTTTAGTGATATGGATAACTGTCGTGATTTTACTTGCGTTTTTTGGGAAGTCTAAGAGGACTTTGGTGGTTGAGGGGAGGAAGATTACGAAAGAGATTATTGGGTTTTTGTTCAAGATTTTGTTGAAGGAAGGGAATATTGTGGCTGCTGTTTGTGCTGTTCTGGGATATTTTGCTCTTTTTCGAAGAAATGCCGGTGAGTGATCAAGTTGAGTGGTTGAGATACTTTGGTTGATCTTTCTTTAGCATATTAGTTGGAATGGTGATCCAGGAGACGGGTGTGGAGGATTGGAAGGTTTAGAGATAGGTTGGATTTGGGTGAGTTTTCCCTTCTCCCTGTAATACATATGGAGCATAGATTAGGAGTGGCAAAGATATGGAGAGTTTTATGTACCACTGGTTTTGTAAATTTTCTTAGTTCAAATGTAACTTGTAAACTGATAAATTTGACTGAGCTATTTAATTTTACCATGTGTATATAACAGCCATTATCTTCTGAATGTGAACTGCAGAACTTTTATGTGAATTTGGAAGCTGTATTACTTTGATTTTCTCTTCGGATTTGAGCAGGTCGATCACTGAAAGATTTCTGTGTGCTACTGGGGAAATTAATGATGTCCACATTGAATTATATCATTAGACCATTCAAGGATCAACAACTTAAGGGACTGGATCATAGTTAGTAACTTCAACGTAAGCTTTGAATGGGTTCTAAACAAATTAGACATTTGGCTGGCAAGAGGATCTGGATTGCGCAAAAAAAAAGGATGGAAGCTGTATTTTTTTTTTTTTTTTTCTACAATTGTGGTGGTGATTCACTTCTGAAGTCACTAAGCTTTAAATTATGCAAATTACTTCAAATATTATCATCTTGGTCTTCAGGAAGTGTAGGTTTGTGGAACTGGAAATGGGTGGGATGACTGAGGTAGTGCCCTCTTAAATATCACTTTATTTGAGTGTCCTTTAGTTACTTTTTCCTTCACTCTTCTTTTGATTTATTGGTTTCTGCATGCTGCTGACTTCCATTGCATTGCAGTGGGACACACCATTTGAATTTATACCTATATACTGATGTGGGAATCCTTTGCTTCCCAGCAGCCTTCTCAATAGACTGCCCAAAATATTGATTCATACAAGAGCTTAAGGGGTTATCGTCCAGAACCTGGTTCTCTTGTAAGTTTAAGCTTAAGTAGACCACATACTTCTTAATGTTTAGTCTTTTTATTTAGATTCTGAAACACACTTTTGAACAATTTTGACATATCTACTTGTTTGGTTTTTGTTAGTTATTGAAATAATCTTCAATATCTGGCCTTTAGCATAACCTAGAGTACTGCAATTTCAGAAGACTAATTTCATGCATGCATGTGCGTATAATGAAAATCTTTGACAGTTGGAATATTTTACCATGTAGAGATCGAACCTCTGTTTTTCACTGGCTGACTGTTTTTGCAAAATCCAAAAGCATATCTCCTAAATGGATTTTAAGGTTGAACATCAAAAAGAAAAAGAGAAAAATGATGATTTCCTAAATTTATCATTCTTATACTGTAAGCTAAGAAGATCTGTATATACTTTGAAAGAAAGATATGTGCTCTTCCATTTGGAAGAAATGATTGGCCTCATACCAAAATTTTAATGCTCACATTTTGATATTCTTTTGCAAAGTTAGTTATACGCATTCCTTATATTTATATTGCTATTCCTTTTTTCACATTGATCATATTTGCTGTAACGTGTAAAACCCTCTTCTGCTCTTAAAACAAGGATTTACATCTCATATCTCATTGACTGATGATTGTCACATTGTTTTTGAATCTTGTGCCATGAAACATGTTTATAAAGTTATTCACTTGATGCAAAACCAATTATTTTTCCTGCTATTCAGGTTTTGGGGATAATTCAGCAAGAGAAACAGCCTAGTCTATCTCGCACTCATATGCCTAGTCTATCTTGCACTCATATGGCATGATAGCGTTCTAACATTTTTCTACATCAATGTGATTGTGGGAAGAAAAAACATGAATGATACTTCAACAACAAACCTGACTGAGCTTTATATATATTTCCATGCAGATGCAGTTTGTTTTGTGCAATCAACCCACCTAAGTGTTTGCACACCTACAAGATCTTCCACAAACACATGAAGGCCCTAGTACAGCTCCAGCTTGTTTTGAACTACATTATGCTATCCCTGCAGATGCAATATTTTGTACAATCAACAAACCTAAGTGTTTGTACAACTACAAGACCTTCCACAAACACATGAAGGCCACAGTACAGCTCCATCTAGTTTTTAACTACATTTATGCTATCCTTGCAGTTGCAGTATTCTGTACAATCACACCTAAGTGTTTGGAACAAATAGTGCAGCAAGCATGAGAATAAAACTGAACTCTATCAACAGGACAAGACAAGCAAGCCAAAGAAGTTTGCTTACTACCAAGTACAATCCTGCCATGAATGCTATGGACATCATCACTAGTGCAACACCAAGAAGAGGCAACGCCAACTTGACAGAAAGCAGAATCAGACCAACGTCAGTTAATTGTGCCCAAATGAACATGGCTGCAACAGTGGAGCTATGCATAGCTACTGTGTTGCAGATAACGAATAAGTGGAACATCTTTTCCATTAGCATGATCGCCAAGCCTTGGTCTGGACCGGAGTTGTTGTCACCTCCAGGGATTGTGAACCCCAGCTGAAAATGTCATTGCCATGATGAGTGTGGATGCTAGTAATATTACATCAACCTTGTCCTTGTAATTTTCAGATTTGGAAGGCCCTCTTTGCCCTAAGCTAACTCTTCTGTTCTTCATGTCTGTTGCTCGACATTGTTTTGCACAGGCCAGTCCTAAGGCCACCCTTGTCAACTGCTGCACAATAGAAAACAAGGTAATAATTCAATTTAGAAGCTTTAATTGATAGATGAATGCTAAGGATGGCTTTATCTCTAACAGATACTGAAGTCATTAAATCAGTTATTATCTGAATTTTGGCAACTTAATCATGAATGAACTAGGATAAATTTGGAATGAAGTATAAAATCTACTTTTTAATTCTCAGGTTACCTGTGGAAATGAAGCCATAGATTCCTTATTTTCATTGTATCCATCTGCAATATCAAGTGCTGAAAGTCCATCATTCTTCCTAACCAGTAGATTAACCCTCCGATCCCCTGTAAGGGTGCTCACAACGTTAGGATGCTGGCCACTAGCAGCCAAAAGCAACTGTGTGTTTCCATTTTCATCTCTATCATTTATAAGTTTCTCTAGCGTGGGCACTTTGAGTATGTGCTTAACCAATTCTGTTCTTCCAATCTTTGCTCCTATATGATGTTTTGACATTGTCTGGTGAGAAGCTCCCTTGAGTCTGGACAGTGCCACAGAAACTCTTCAATTATGTTTACATAGCCTTTGTTAGAAGCTATGTGAATTGGAAAATAGCCATTCCTGTCTCTTTGATATGCAGCAGCATAGAATTTTTCTAGCAGGAAGGTCACCCCTTCAATATAACCTATGGATGCAGCACGGTGAAGCGGATTCCTTCCTAGTTCACATGTTAAACTAAAGGAAGCTTGATCCTTCTTCCACATATTTTCACGACATCTGACATACACAAAAGAAGTATGTAAGCACTTATTTATTTTGTTATGTAATTTTTGTTACTGGGCTCCTAACAAAAATAAAATCATTAATTTCTCAAATTTACTACAGGTCGAGAAGGAACAAAAAAAGACTGTTTAGCGAATAAAATTACCAATGTTTCTCCCATTTAGGGCAGCATGTACAGGACACCTGTTCTGCAGTCTCTCTTCTCCACTGCTTCTCACCAATGGATTTTCCATTATATGCCTAACAAGATCAGCATATCCTGCAGTTGCAGCCAGATACAGCACAGACTTCCCTTTCTTGTTGACTGCATATGTTATGTTTGTATTTTTGTCAACCAATATCCTAGCCACGTTTTGATGACAATGCTGCAATGCTTCATGCAGTGCAGTTTTGCCATCTTTATTCTTGTCTCGTAAAACTGCTTCAATGAATTCTTCGGTTATGGCATTGACAATAGGTTAACCAGCAAAGAATCACCACTTCTTGCTGCTATGTGGAGTGCAGTATCACCTTGTTAATTTTTCTCCAAGATGAGGAAGGGCAAATCCTTGCAGATGAGATTAACAATCTCACAATGCCTATGGCTTGTTGCTATACGAAGGATTGTATTCTTCTAGGGACTTACCTGAATGCAAGTTACAGGTAGATCAAAATTTCTGTCAGCTGGTCCTTTTTCAAAAGCTTCTACAAGCTCAAGAATCTTGCCTTCCATTGCAGCTGTGTACAACTCTGGATCCATGAAGCTAGAATTCCCATAAGTCTCTTCCCCATCCCATCAGTAAACAAGCTGGAGTTTCCTTTCACCAAGTCAGGTATGAGTTACTTTCACCAAGTCAGGTATGAGACTTCGCTTCAAAAGCCTTTCCCCTTTTTTTCTTTGCCTTTCTTCTTCCACGTAGTATCTGTTTCTCCTTCCTTCTTTCTCCAAGAACTCCCATCTGCTTTTTTCCTTTCCTCTCAAAATCATTTATGATTTTCCCCATTGAAGAATCTCAACCACTTTCCAAACCAAAGTGCAAGAAGGTATTTTTCATTTTTATCCTGAGTTGGAACTTACTTACAACCAGAGAAAGTAAAAACAAATTATTAGTTACAGCTTGAGAACTCTTTTTCCCATCTTGGTATATCATATATGTC